ATAATGCAATATGAAAAAACAAAATAAACTTTATTTAGAAAGCTGCAACAATATTTTCTACATGTAGAGATTTGGTGTAAATAAAAAGTTTAACTATTCAAGTTATATAATTATGAAGTTTCTTGAAAAAGTTTCAACTAAATCTGACTTATATTCTTAAAGTAGGCTTATTTATCCTTTTTTTCATGATAATGTTTTAATAAAAATACTGAAAAAATCGAAAACTCTGTTTTGTGATCTTTGCATTAGTTGTTATTTGAATACTCATTTAGAGAAAAATGTCTTTAAAAAAATTTGATAAATATGGAAGCATTTTCCATTTTTAGAATATGGTTACATTCACAACAAGTCTGCTATGCAATTATGAACTTTTACTTTTTACTTTTCATGAATACTTATTAGAGAAATTCACAAATGGTTGCACACATACTATAAAGACAATAGATCCTGTTTGTACCAACCTTTAAACCCACCAATGAACAAATACATATATTGTTTTTAAAATTTTTAAAGCTATAATTTCAGAATAGGTGCATTATTTTAACAAAAAACCTTTCTTTTTTGGACAAAAAGCTCAAATAAATATTTTGCTTTAATAGTATCAATCTAAATGCCATAGTATGTCAAGGAGAGAATTACATTGTGGCTACTGCTACATAATATAGGAAGGAAACGTCAGAAAACAAAATTTTGATTACTTGGTTTTCAATTTTAAAAAATGTTGGAAACAAACTTGCAATAAATTTCTAACTTTAATAAGAGAAATATGCATCACACTTTAATGTCAGCTCTTGAGTCAGGGTCAAGTGTCTTAATAATTTTGTTTTTTTTAATCATTTAAAAAATGATAACAAGGATTAAATTTGCCAACAGTTTCACCATTGAGAATTTAATATAATGCTACGTATAATACACAAAGTTTTGCTCCCAATCTTTATGTAATATTATTTTTTTATATAATAGACCAGTCAAAAGCGTAGAAAGTGATACTCAGGAAAAAGAGTGTATTGCTCACCTATTACTTTCTATTGTTAGTGAAGAAAATAAAGACAGTTAAGAAGCCTTTCAGTAGGTCATGGTATGGATAAGTCATGTTCAAGAATTTCAGATAAGTCTGAAGCAGTAAGGAAAGTAAAAAAATAACCAATCTTAAAAAAATTAAAAGTATTAATGGAAAAATATTTTTTTAAATTTCTTAAATTATATTTCTTTAGTATCTGTCTATATTTCTGAAATGAGGTATTATGTACACTATTTACATTGTTCAAACTATCGTCCTCATCTTTGTTGCCATATTTATCACAATGTTTTGGCTGTTGTATGCTCTGGCCTTCTTCATGTGCTTGGAATGTCGAACTGAACCCTTTATTTCACTTGCTGGAGGTAGACTGTTTTAGTTCCACATGCCATGTCTAATGGAAGTCAGTTATCAGTTATCTCCTGTTAATTCCCCTCTCCAAGTTCTCCACCACTTTAACCAGGTATTGAACTCACATTCTTTAGGTCCTGTCATTGGATCTAACTAACGCCTCTATCCACTGTGCCATATGTTCTCAAGGACACATGGCACAGTGGATAAAGGTGTTAGAGAACTTGGAGAGGGGAATTAACAGGAGATAACTGATAACTGACATCTATTAGACATGGCAATTTGATTGCAAAAATGAAAATACATAAAATTGCATTACAAGAGTCAGTATGCATATAAACCATTGAAGAGTACTCATCTCACACCAGAAACTAAGAGAGTCTGGCTAGTGAGTAGGTAAGAAAAGATTTCGCAGGATAATAATGTAGAGCAAACTAGAAACATAAAAAGTAGAAGACCACCTAAACAAAAATTTATTCGAAAGATGACAGATTCTCCCAAACCAGTACAATGCAACAAGTATTTGATGAATGTTACTATGGAACAAGGTCAAACTTCTTTTAATTAGATTTTGAGTATAGATTATTCAAATGAAACTGAGCAAACAAGTAAGGCAGATGTTTGAAGATGAGCAAAACATGAAGATTTCTTCTTTACATTTTGAGTTGGACATGATAAAGAAAAAAGGTATTTCAAAGCTGGATTGAAAATCATGTTAATTAGGATCAAGCAATATTCACATGACATCATAAAACAATCTGCATGATATTGCTACTCAAATATCTGCTTTGCAAGGTCAGATGTTTTTAAAGATAATTTTAGAAACAATCTTCATAAATCAGATGCTTTTCTATTTGGAATAGTATGACTAATCTTAGTTCTTCACAATGTTTAACCTGTTGTATCCTCCAGACTTCTTCAGGCATCATTCATAGAATGTTTAACTGAAAGCATTATTCAGTCCACAGATAGAGTGTTCTCATTTCCATTCTGAGGAGATATGCTTCAACATTTAATACTCTTCAGGCTATGTGCTTTTGTGTAGCTTATACATTTCTTTCACTAAACCAGAGTATATGACTTTTCAACACCATCTGACCCTCAGTTTATATGTTTTTAGTAATGATTTATAAGTTATATCAGTAGGTAATGGACAATCCTCCAACCTACAGAACTGTATGACAACAGTAAAAAATTGGTTTGTCTACCATATAGAAAGGATATATTTGAAAAGATTCAGAGGATTTACAGGCCATACAACATCAAGATGGTATTCAAAAGTAGTTCAATACTTTAGAAAAATCTATCCTAAGTCAGTCCTTCCTTATATGAGAAAATGTCCAAGAATTGTGTGTACTCTCTGCAGCTGTGGCAAGGAATACAAAGGAACTACCCACTGCCTCCTAAAAGTAAAGGTGAAGAAATATTAAAAGCTGTAGTGCAGGGAGAGACCTTGAAATCAGTCATAGCTGATCATATATGGAAAGAAAAGGATTGTCATCAACACCTATGGAATGAAGTTTGCTATTTCTATGTAGCCTCTTTTCTTTTTTCCATTTCTTAATACTTTATTTAGCTTTTGGAAGGCATATTTTATTATTTCAGTTCACCTTCAGATTCCAGCATCGAATTTTCAATCATATGGAAACTAGGTAGAAAAATAATCATAAGATTTATAGAATTTGACAAGTATATACAAGTTCTAGCTTGCAAATTAATTCTCTTACTACTGAGTTAGAATAAAAAAAATTGTGGTAATATTTTTGTGGTCATAATAATAATAATAATAATAATAATAATAATAATAATAATAAATAGAAAAATAAAATAAAATGATAACATTAGTAGCAACACTATGAAGATTTTATTATTTATTAGTTAAAGTCATTATGACAATCATTGCAATTATACTTTAATAAAACTGTACATTTTCACAGAAGAGTTCATTATGAAGGATTGTAGCAGTAATAATAATTGAAGTCAAAGTAGAGTATAATTATAAGCCATCTTGGTGAATGTTGGCTTACAAATGAAATCTGATTTAAGGCTGTAAAAATGTGACTCACTGAAGGATACTTTTTGACCTCACCTCATTTTGTTTGTTCTTTTTATCTTTCTTTCACTTCACAGCATTTTCTACTTTTCCACTGAATTAATTTCTAATTCATTTCTTGGAAACATCCCACTGTAAGTTTACTTTTAGATGTTTTACTTGTTGGGTATTTTTCTTTTGAATATCCAAGATGTATGGATGCATAGATGGCAAACTGAAAGAAATATTTTCATAGCTATTCCTGGGGAAAACCATTTCTATTACCATTTAAGTAAATTACTTTCCCTTTTTTCCAAAAATATGCCATGAAAATGCCTGTTTCTTGAGAAACAGGCATTTTCATGGCATATTTTTGGTATTTCTATAATTTGTTATTAATAACAGCTGCTTGGCTATTTTTATATTATTTCTGATATTTTTAAATATTTTTGACTCCGACTAAGAATTATTCTGATATTGGTTAAAAGTTTTAAGAAGCACTTCAGGATATTAAAAAAAAAGTTTACCTTATAAGTTAAAGAAAAGTTTTTGATTAAAAAATGTAACTGCTTGTAAACTGTTTCCCAAATTTCCTTTACAATATTGTCCAATTCCTAAATTTCTATTTAGGTATCAGGCAATTCTTTTCCAATGCTCCTTTATAATTAATTTATAATAAATAAACACCAATTCTTGTTTTAAATTCTTCTTTAATTCTTGTTTGAGTTGCATTTGCTTAATTAATGCTAATTTGTGTTTATACTACTGCTATAAATAATCAAGAGTGGTCTTCCCTTGCTTTGTTACTCTCCTCTTTGAGAGAGCTATTTCTGTTTACTGGGACTATAAAAGTTCACTCTACACGAACCTTGTATTCTCTGTTGAATAAAGCTTTCTTAAAGCCTACACATGCATAAATTTGTCATTACAACTACTACTACTAATAAAAATAACATATCTAGTGGTCAATCCTAGGAAGCAAGTGGTAACAAACCATTTGAATAATCTAGCTCTTTCCTCAATATTCTAGCTGATTTTGATAATGTTGTCATCTCAATGATTTCAATTCTTTCTCATATTTTTAATTCATCCAACTTTTTTCTTTTCTGGATTAATTTACTGTATTGATAGTTTCATATGAAATTACTTTTCTGTTGTTTTCTGCTACTACTACTATCATTATTATTATATGTTGTAATGCATAAACTAATTTATATGTAATAATTATAGTATATTTAGCTTTCATAATGCTTGAACATCAAAAAAGTATTAAAGCATTATGAGTTCAATATGAAATTGTTCAAACAGGGAATGATTTGTAGATTTATGCTGCTGCATTTGCTTTTTTAGTAGAATAATTTACAGCATATTTGAAGAATTGTAAGAACTTTTAATAAATTTGATTAAATCAAAAGTAAAATTAGATATGAAGAAAAAGATCAAGGACAACTATGTTGTTAATATTAATGGCAAACATATCAAATAAAAATATATTTCTATTGGAAAAATAAAAAAAATTTGTCTAGTAAAAATGAAAAATATCATTTTTCTGGAGATTTAAAGAAATGTTTAAAATAGCACAACAAAAATATGACTTACCATCTCCACTGTCCGATTCAATCACAATAGCTGTAGTGTTAGGTTTTCCCAGGTGTCCACCTATTGGTTGAGACAGGCTCACGCTGAATTTTTCATTTTCCTCAAATAATGAATCATCAATAATACTGATTTTGCAGAATTTTTTGGTCTCATCTTTATCAAAATGAACCACACTCCTACTGTCATTGGGACGAGTTACATAATCAGAAGAAGATGTTTCTGAATCATTTGGAGAGCCTTGAGCAGTACCTAGAAGAGATATATGAAAAAAAATTAAAATAAGTATGTAAGAAATTGATTTTGTTTTACTTTTGTCTACATTTTAAAATGTTACATTCTTCTTCTTTTATATGTTGGTCACTTTTCCTGTAAAACAGAATGATCAATTATAATTTAGGAGATAAAACATACATACTTTTCCAGATAATATTTGTGTTAGAATAAAGGTAGTTATGAGCAGGATGCTGAAAAGTGCTTGACCCATTTCCCAAAATCTGACCAAACATCAGAATTTTTTGTAAGGACTTAGGTTGAGTACATTTTCATTGCTTACTTGACTATATATATTATATTCCAACCTTTTATATAAGTCACAGTTTTTAAATATTTATTTAGCTGATGGCATGTATTTGAATTTAATTAATTAAAAAGTTTGACGAAAATGACATGCACAATTGTGTTCTGTAGAACATGATTCTATGCAACAGTAAACAAATGACAGCTAATTTGGTGACATTGTTCCAATTTTTATGCGACATGGGTCTTAAAGTATATTTCAGCAATGATAAGGCAAAAAGTGTTCAGTGCTTCATAATCATTAACAACATTAGAAATTGCTTAATTACTTCATACAAACAAACAAAAATTCTTACAAATCCATTTACATACAATGACTGACTTGTCAAAGGTAAAAAGCATAAATCTTTGATTTCACTCAACAACTATAAGCCCAATTAAAAATGGAGATAGGAAAGCTCTCACAAGAGTGTAGTAGAAAGTTGTTCCAAGCCACTGGGTCCCCAAATATGTCTAAACAATCACAATGCCACATACGGAAGTGCTTAGGAACATGCACCAAATCAATAGTTTGACCTATTTTGAAATTAAATCACCTCATTAAGTGCAAACAGCATATGAAAGTTAAAGTATTATTCACAAATGAGTGTAGGGAAATCCTGGCAGAGAATCATTTATGCAACTAAAATAAGAATTTTCTGATAAGATATTTTTGAAAGGACCACTTTCTAGAAATTCCAAAAATAGACAAGCCAAAAAACACTAAAATGGAAAATTCTTGATAGTGCCACTATTAAATCTTATCAAGATATAAATCCAGGCCCCAGATTTTTTAAAATATCTCCATTTTTGAAAACAACCAAAGAAATGTTTATGGTCAACATGGGGGAATGCCAAAAAATGCTTCTGCTGCTGAAAAAATATTATCCTAAGCATCTCATTATTATAGTGAGAGAATCAGTTTTAGGTATTGATCAGTTCAGAATAAACAGCCAAATTTTGAACTCTTGACTTAAAATACAGCATTGCCTCTGGGTGAGAAATGGTTCCAAAATTACTTCTGGCCAATCACAGGAAGGATTTACTCTTACATTCACAGAGTACCTGATAAATATGGTGAATTCTTGACAGAAACCAACTTAAAGCCCACAGTTTTCACAAAAAGATGTTATTTTTTTAATAGTGCAGGTAGTAAAGCAATGTTTCTAAAATAAAATGCGAATAATGTCTATATCTAAGCTATCACTATTACTATTTCCATGGTAAATGTTCAGATAAGTTATACTCTTTAGTTCCACCAGTTCAGACTTTTACAGCTAAGACTTGTCAATCTATGCTAACAGAGTCTAATCACTGACATTTTCTCCATATTCCATTTGTAAGGAGGAAGTTGCACTCAGACAGTTTTTTCCCCAATAACTGCTACTTTGTGAAACAAAATCCTATGTGTATTTTTCCCTGAACACTATAATCTTAACCTCTTTAAGTCAAGGGCCAATCACTATCTATCCTCCTTATTTTCCTAAACTTCACTTCCATCTACCTCCACCTATCTCACCTCTTACATTCAATAACCCTCTATCACGTGTGTGCCTTGAGCCTTGTATTGGGTGAATTAAAAAAAATTCCATAATTCCTGATATTGCAGCATGTGTTGATTAATGCTTCTCATCATGTATAGATTATCAGGTTACATGGTTACTGCATGCCTCTCCAGCAGTTGTGATCAAACATAAATATTAACAAGCCAATCATGTTATCAACCACTTAAATCAAAAAGAAAAACAGGTAAACACTAGCCAGACTTTTGAGAACCCATATGTCCCACCTCCAAGCCAATTGTCATCATCTTTAATGAAAAGGAAAAAGAAAAAAACAAAATAAAGCATTCCAACCCAAGCATAACAGCAACAAAAAAATTAATAAAAAAACAATCTAATCTAATCAAAATCCAAACCACAAATCATGGAAAATCCATTAGTATTCCCAAAAATAAATCCATTAGTATTCCCAAAAATAAATCCATTAGTATTCCCAAAAATAAATCCATTAGTATTCCCAAAAATAAATCCATTAGTATTCCCAAAAATAAATAAAATGAAAAAGGAGTTAAAAGTCCTATTCCCAATCTTTTTAGGTCTGTCCATCTAGAAGTAAATAAAATTCCCTGTAAAATCATAAAAAAATAACATTTTTTATAATGAAGAGAAGACACTGAAAATGCCCTGAAAGATGTTTCAGTTCATATGACAAAAAGCCTCAAAAATCTCTTCTTTTTTATGGAGAAATATATTTTAAAAAAATAGTCTTCATAAGTGTCCTAAGTCCAATAGAGGGATAACTAATAAAGCCATTAAAACAAGCACTGGGCACTTGGTTATTGACTATGGTGAGAGTTGTATAGAATGACTTTGTTGACTTATATCTAAAAATAATAAACTTGAATAATTCAAATTTCTACATATCAAAAAAGGGAATACCTCTGTTTCACTCAATTGCTACTCCTGAGCTTTAAAATGCTCTTTCTTCAAGGATTCCCTGTGACTTTGTCACAGGCAATTCTAATTCATAATTTATGCACAGGGTTTTTCAACAAATGTTACTGGAGATTAATTTTTATAATTCTCAATGACTTTATGATTGGCCAAGTGAGAAGACTTCACTTGTAAAGTTTGTTTATTCCAGGACAAAAATTTTATCTGTATGGTTGTGCAAGTACTGCCAAAATATTTGTGAGGAAGACATTCATAATCTGACAAGTAATTTCCAACACATGAAGATTTTTCTGTCAAGAATTCACCATATTTATCAGGTACTCTGTGAATGTAAGAGTAAATCCTTCCTGTGATTGGCCAGAAGTAATTTTGGAACCATTTCTCACCCAGAGGCAATGCTGTTTTTTAAGTCAAGAGTTCAAAATTTGGCTGTTTATTCTGAACTGATCAATACCTAAAACTGATTCTCTCATTATAGTAATGAGATACTTAGGATAATATTTTTTCAGCAGCAGAAGTATTTTGTAACACTTGTTACTTTGTTGAATATTGTTAGCCATTCAGTATTGAACATGATGCTATCATTGTTCATGCAGCATGTAAAAAGTCTGATTTTGCTCAAAAATATCTTCATTCATATCTAACATCTCTATAAATAATTCTTTGAAAAACTGCTTCTTAAAATTATATCATTCGAGCCAAATATCTGAGTCCAGTATATAAATGATACTTTATACAAGTGATACTCAAAGTGGGTGGTAATGCCCCCAGGTAGTAATATGAATTCTCATGTGTTCACAGGAGTTATAGTGTGTAACAAGGTAGTAACACATTTCAATCCTTTGAAACTTGATTGGAACAAATTATATTATGTACACATATATCTTTTTGCCTATATATTTTCATTTTTAAACATATTTTAAATATTTATATTCAATTTTCATGTGTGCACAGAGCAAAATTCTGCAACAGCTTTTAAGGGCTGACCCAGTGACCACTTGGCTGTTTCCACTACAACTTACTTTTGGTGATTGGTGTTGTTATAATTCAATAAAATAAGCATGTGACATTAACTTTTTTGCATTATCTTTACTCCATTTACCAGTACAGTTTTAATATTTGTACAAATGCATTAACTGTAGCAAATAACAGAAGCCACATCACTTGAAGACCTTCAAGAGTAGCAACAAGTAAAATGGAGTTCAAATGTAACATGAAGAGAAAATAATGCTATAATAAAAATGTTGATATTCTACACTATTTCAAGCAAAAGGCTAGGAAGGAAGCCCCCATCAATATTGGAAAAAAACAATAATAGTGCCTGGCTTGAAAAGCCTATTTTCTTGAAAAACTGTTTTAAGAGAAAAATTTTATAAATTTCAACAAAGAGTAGTGCTAGCTGCTAGGTCAATTGTTTCCTTATAAGGGAATGGCTAATATTACCATTAAAATTACAGAAGTGGATAAGTTTAAAGTGTCTAATTCTACAATGTCAGTGTAGTTTTCTCCTCTAAAACTATTGTACACAACTGCCATATAAAAAATTTATGTACTTGTGAGTAAAATAATTATAAATAATATTCTATATAGATGTAGTAGGAAATATAATAGAGAAACAATCTGACTCCTAAAAATTAGATTGAAGAAAAGCCATAATCAAAAGTGATGCCATAAAGTTACATACACATGGTCAAGAATTTGTGGTCAAGAATTTGTGGTCAAGAAAATGAACACATTGCTCACTGAAAATAACAGTTGAGGTTAATCAGTCAAAGAACTGTTACTGTATACATCCAAATTTCCTTTCATTTTTGATATTCATGAATAAAATTCACTCAGTCATTGTTTATTTTGTGACATATATCTATATCTATATATAAAAGTTCATTCTTATCTACCAGAATTATTTTTATGATAAACTAGAATTTTTTCAAATATTTTTCATGATTATTAGGAGAGACTGTTCAGCAAAGATTTATGAATTTTTTTTTATTTATCCAATTATAAATTTCTAATTTTTTTTACTAATTCTGAATCTTTCTTGGCAATTATAAAGTGCAATATAGCAACAACATAAAAAGTCATAAATTTTCTCATTAAATATGAAGTTTAGATAAAATACCTGAACAAATGTCAGCCAAATTAGTCTCTTGTTGGATTATGAAGCAAAAGAATTTAATCTAATGGTTTATCAATATGAGTGGATCAGATGAAAAGGGATTGAATTCATATGAAAAA